GAAGATTTTACCTGTCAACAAAAGATGTAGTAGGAATATGCAATGTAGAGACAAAGGGAACATGAGTGATTAAACATGTATATCTTCCGTGTGAATAACAACTAGCTTAACCAGCTGTGGTTAAACAGTGGCTTAACCAGGAGTGCAGCTGTGGATACTAAAAATTTACATATGTTCAAAAAACAAATACGGGAAAAAAAAATCTGTGCAAGATTTTTTAATATAAAGCCATCATCTCTGCCTCAGGAAGTCCCTGGGTGACAAGTCTCTGACAGCAACAGGAGAAATGCAGGAAAAATGGTTACATTTGCCCTTTGGCATCACCTATTGCTGCTTTCATTGGAACAGGACACTGGGAAAGACAGATATTTTGTCTGAAATGTACAGACATGAGTTTTATTTTGGCCTAATTTGCAAGGACCATAAATTAGACAACAGTTGATTATATTAAAAAAAAAAATCTTATACTCAGACCCCGTACAAATAATCCTGTGGCAAGGTAGGATTAGATACTGAAGCATTTTGAACGAAAGCACTGAAATACAGGTTTGTCATGGTCAAAGAAGGCAGTTTTGTATCGACATCCCATCTTCTTGAGAAATCTCGAGAAATCTCATATTTACACTGTTTTTTTAACATATAAATCTGAATTTTCCAAAATTCAGATGTTCATTTGGTGTCTAAAAATATCAAATGAACCGGATATTTATGTACAAATTATCATATTTGTCTGTTGTGACAGCTACACAGAAAAAAATAGATGCACAATTATACACATCTTTTGTAGACAGTCTTGGTCTTGAGACTCAGGAAAAAAAAGGCATTGAAAGTTTTAGTGTTTACTTTCAATGACTAATACCAACTGTTCAGCTCGTACAGCTTAACCTGGGAAAAACAATATGCTACAGAAAAAGTTATTTGTTTCTTAGAAATCCCATTTTTCATTCAGAATACGTGCTATCACTGATAAAATACATTCATTTGATGCACAATGGGTTCAATAGAAGTTTTATATCCCTAACATACCTTGAAAGGACGGAAATAGCAACTACAGTAATTCATTTTATTATTCAAGTTTGCTCTCCCAGTTACCTATCATCTTACTTGCAAAGGTTTATTTGAAAAAAAAACAGCACAGCTGTCTGAGCTTATCTACCTGGCTTCATTGATGCTAGAATGTGCTTTTTGTTTCAAAATTTCAAATGAGGTTGTGTCAATAAAACAAATGGAAAACCTGAAAATATCTAGAACTCAAGTCCTGCATTGGTTTAAAAATACCCAAACAAGCAAGCACACAAACCCCGTAAAATTATCGTAATAACAAAAGCACAATTTCACCTACTTCAGCAGAACGATGCAGATAAACTTTGGCTTACTTCATTTGGCCATTTCTGAGAAATATATTAAACTAGGCTTAGCACTCATAACAGTGTTGGTAGTTAAAAAGCAGATGAATATTGCTTTCTGAAGCATTAGTAACATTTCTTTCCACACCTAAATTGCCCCACACAGGGAATTTCACAGAAGCTTCCTGTTTTTAGTAAAATTATTCTGTTTCACTTTAAGGTTAAGCTGTATTATCAAGCAGGTACTGCCCGAGCTGGAGTTACCACTTTTTCTCATAGTTTTAATCCACTGAAAAGCCACAGCAACACATGCCTGCTCAGACCTCACAGAAAAAGTGCTACACAAATGCATTTTATGTTTCACTAGTGATGAGCATAAAATGTGCAGAAGTAGCAAAACCGGTGATAATTTTGCCAGGACTTCATGGTTCGCCCTGCGAGCACCGGCCCCAGCTCCACTCAGGAGAGCTGACCAAAGCACAGTGCTGAACCACGCTGGCCATCAGCTCTGAAGTTACTGCAATTAACGTGGAAAGATCTCCCCGCACCACGCTGATGACAGGCAGCAAAAAAACGCACAGAGAGCGCACAGAAGATCACGTCTCTCCAATTGTCATCACTTTGGGGTGCAGATTTAAAAAGACAAAATAATGGAAACAAATTACATCTGGGACTATTTTTTTTTTTTTTTTTAAATAAAAGCTAATATCACAAAAAAACATAAAGCCTTACTGAAATGAGGGCAGGAGATTTGAACAGCAACAGTCACATGAAACCCTTATGAGTCTGAAAAACAATATATGTATTTCCTTAATGTAGAAAATGGAGAACAGAGTGCAAAAATGACAATTTAACAATGCCATTTTCCATTTGGGTCAAGTCATCACTTTGGGGTGCAGTTTTAAAAAGACAAAATAATGGAAACAAATTACATCTGGGACTATTTTTTTTTTTTTTTTAAATAAAAGCTAATATCACAAAAAAACATAAAGCCTTACTGAAATGAGGGCAGGAGATTTGAACAGCAACAGTCACATGAAACCCTTATGAGTCTGAAAAACAATATATGTATTTCCTTAATGTAGAAAATGGAGAACAGAGTGCAAAAATGACAATTTAACAATGCCATTTTCCATTTGGGTCAAGATCTGGCTTTTTGCCCTGCTGAAATTTTGACATTAAAGCAAACATGGAAAAGAACAATTATAGAAAGAAAATGGAGTGTGTGAAATTTTCTTTCAATTAAAAAAACCCCTAAAACTGATTAGTTCATTGCAGTGTTTTGCAGGAGCACTAACTACAGAAGCTAAAGTATTGCCATAGATCATCAGATATTTTATTCTAGTAAACATCTGCTGCTCCTGGATATAGACATGTAGTCAAGGGAGCACTTGAAAAGGAATAAGGAATGCCAGGTACACTAGTTACTGGAAAATAATGTTCAAACCAGAATTTCTTTTGCTTTTGCCATTAGGACCAAACAGCTTGTGAAGTTATACAGACATTAATGGTTATACTGATTTATCGTATTTCCAAATTAAGACCACACCTCCAAAACCTTTCATTGAATCAATGCCAAAAGGCTGTTTAAGTTAGGTTAAGCACATTGGAAGAACAATGCAGTACTAAGCTCACAAAAAAAAAAGAAATCTTAGCCAAAGCCATAACTTCCAGCAGCAGATATTAATGTTTGTTTTGGGATCCAGTCATTTGAGTAAATAATGAACTTTCAAAAAACACCTAAGTGCAAAGGAGCACAAATGCAGAGTCCAAACTAAGGCTCACACGAGCTGGTACATCCACGCAGCACAGTGTTATTCTAAGCACACAGAGTAATTTGGGTCCAGAATTTGCATGTACATGGCACAGAGCCTGGGCTAATATGTCCTGCCTTTCAGCACAGTTTGTTAGCTCAGGCTCAGTACCAAATTGACAGGGCTACACAGCACCAGGCTCTGGAGAGGTCTTTACGCTGTACTCATTGAGCTGTATAAGCAGCCTCTTAGGAGAAAAACACCTATAAATCAGATGCCACTTACATGCTTCTGGAAGTCCTGACTCTTCTGTCTCTTTACATGTACGTTTTTTCTCCTTAAAGTTTTGGAGGCTGTTTCCTCATAGTTATGGCAAGCAAACTCTCAGCCCCGGATCCCCCATGTGGAAGAACAATAGCAGACACCTCCCTACTTGTTTTCCTGCAGCTTCTGCCACATGGGTTTCCTCCTGCTGTCCAACCTTTATTACTTGGAAAAAAGAAATTCTTCCTTTGTGCTTGACATTCCTATCACAGAAAGAGTGGCTCCAAGTTTTGTTGGCATTATGGTTTTGTACATCAAGTGGCAAGATAGGCCAACCTCAGCTCCAGTAGCAAGGCAGTTGCTTCTTTTCATCTTACACAAACAACTAAAAAAAAAACTGCTTCTCACTGCCAAGTCTGTCTTCTTGTAAGAACACTGACATTTTCAGACAGGGGTCGGTACTGGGACCAGTACTGTTCAACATTTTTGTCGCAGACATGGACAGTGGGGTCGAGTGCACCCTCAGCAAGTTTGCCGATGATACCAAGCTGTTTGGTGAGGTAGACACGCTGGAGGGCAGGGATGCCATCCAGAGGGACCTGGACAGGCTGGAGAGGTGGGCCCAAGACAACCTCATGCAGTTCAACAAGGCCAAGTGCAAGGTCCTACGTCTGGGTCGGGGCAATCCCAAGCACAAATACAGGCTAGGCGGGGAACGGCTGGAGAGCAGCCCTGAGGAGAAGGACCTGGGTGTGCTGATTGACCAGAAGCTCAGCATGAGCCAGCAATGTGCAATCGCAGCCCACAAGGCCAACCATATCCTGGGCTGCATCAAAAGAAGTGTGGCCAGCAGGTCAAGGGAGGTGATTCTGCCCCTCT